TGAGCTCAACTCTGGACCAATCAGGAGGCTGGGAAATCCGCAAAGCAGTGTTGTAGTACATATTAGACTGAAAAATCATCTTTTCAACTTTGAATACCCCTAGTACGAGTACTCGAGTACCGGTACTAGTACAGTCACGGAATTCGATAACCCGCTCTCCCGGATTAACTTACCGTACTCGTTGTCCCAGATAGAATTCTTCGGATTTTTGGCCGTCCGGGATAGCGAGTTACGACATAGAGCTTTTTTTTTTTTTTTTTTTCCTTCTCCCTTGGCACAACACCGCTATTCCCGGCACAACTACTGGTACGGTAGGCGAAGCGAAACTTCTCAATCCAAGGGTCACTTATGGTATGTACAGTACGTGGTTGGCTAATCCCACAAAACCAAGGTCTTGGCACGTAGGGCTCAATGGGCGCCCCAAATTTATTCATTCGCACAGCTACCGACACCACAGTTTACCGGTACTGTAAATTACCAGTACGTTAACGGCACCCCTGACCGAGACCGCCGGCCAATGATCGAATAATCATAAAGCTGCATCTCAACTTTGGGCTGGCAGATTCGTTACTTACTTAACCTGGCGAGCCACTAGCCTATCATGATGACTCTGGGTAGCCTTCCCGAAACTAGCGGGTCACCACCTCCTGTTTAACCTTCTTAGTAAGGTACTGGTATTATATGCAATACTCGAGTAGAAGGAATACGGTGACACTTAGGGACCAAAAGAAAAAAAAAGAAAGAAAAATATCAGCAGATTGTGCTGTACTCGGGTACGTGTACTCGAGTACCATATTCACCGATAACAAGTCAACAGCAAGAGTTTCATACTCGTACAGTCAGGCAAGAGTTACAAGAGACCAGCAATCTCCATCTCATAACTCCTGGGAGAGGATAGACGGGAGCTAGAAACGAACCATTCAGGCATCCAGCCTATCACAGCTACAGAACAGATCTGGCAAAATTTGGCAGTGCTGATCAATCACTCCATCAAACCTCAAATTCTGCCCCCTGTCCGGGGTTCCCGATGCTTGTGAAGGGATTCTGGTCCAGCTCCCGATAACCCGGAAAACGGGCACGGGAACCAAATACAGGTGAGACCGGGCAAAGCACGATAAGCCCCGAATCCGACTTGATCAGTGAGGTCCCAAATCCCTTTAGTAAGCAAGCGAGGATGCCGCCGGCGGAGTTGAAACACTCACAGGTAGCGAAATTCCCGGTGCGATTTGACTTCCAGCCCTCCCTTGAGGACTGGAGACTGCAATACTCGTTGTGGGGATTATAAGCATCGTACTGACCCGACATAACATCATCCCTGTGCGCCCAAGGCGGAACTAACCCTTACATTGCCACCCAAAAACATCCGGCACCCTTACCTCCTAATGAACCCACCGCACAATTCCCACGAGCTCCCTTCCCCCCCCCCTTTTCGTCACCCGTCTCATCAATTATCATGTCTCTCCGAAAACTCCATGCACACCGCAGCCTGCTCTGAATCAGCAAATTGAGTCATCGCGCTCGCCTGCTAGAGCAATATCTGCCACCTCCATCACCGCTACCTGGATAATAGAAACGAAAGGTATCCGCACCCCGGTGTAAGCATGTATTCCACACAAGAGCACACTATCACGTAATCCCGTCACATCTGTAATTCCAGGGACAGGATGCCTTCAGAAGCCGGCCATTTATCCCCGTGTGGCTCCGGGGGTGCGGATATTAGATACGTGGATCCACCCATCAATTTTTTTCCCCCAATACTAATCTACGTTAAAGTTCTGGAAGGTGCAGATGAAGGATAGTGGATCGCAGCCAATCGCGGAGCTTTCTAGGAATGCTGGAAGGGGTTTCTCCCGTTTTAGAGGTACCACGATTTACGGAGAAGCCTCTCCATAGATGTCTTCCCCCACACGCGGGGAGTGGCGGCACGCATGGACCAGAAGGGAGACGTATAGTGATCCTTGCAAGGACCAGGATGCCTCCACGATCACCCACGCGCCTGTCTTCATCATTAGTTCAAGGAAGACGCCAAGCAAGTGAAAAGCGCCCGCCCGAGGCTTACAAACCGTGCACTCGGCTGAGAACTTGTGGTTGGAAATTGACAACGTCGAAGGAGTAAACCTTATACCGTAACCATTTCCACCAGTCATTTCGTGGGCACGCTTCCTCCCCTCTCCCCTCAAACCACCCGGTCGAACAAACTGTTTCCCACTCCCATCACCGAGAGACCCCATCGCCATTCACGCGGATTACTCACCGAGGCCAACCGGACGCGGCGCATACAGTACAACTCAGGCACCAAACCCCCCACCAGGAATCAAAATCACGAGTCAACTTAGAGTTGACGAGATGTACGGGAACCGCTCCGGGCCGCAAAGGTTCACGTAGGATCAAGTGGTGGGGGATGGATAAAAGAGGTCTACTCGTGCGACACGCTCTGCTTCAGTCAGGGGAAGAGATGGTCCGGGGTCGAAGGGGCGTTGCAGCGTGGGCAGTTTAGGCGCGAATGAGGGAGTGAAGGCTCATGACGGTATTCAGCGGACGGTGGCAGTGAAATGTGAGCACTCGAGCGTGGATACGGAGGGCAAGAGGTGGCATTTGTGCGGTGTCTTGGTGTAAATTGGTATCATAGTCGAGCGAGAGACTTCACTCGGGACCGCGCACCGGAGGTCTAGTTATTCTCTGCTGCACGTTTCCAGTTCAACCGTCAACAAAACCTTGAATTTGTATGGGGGAGAAGAAGTGAAAGAAGCTTCAAATTTTTTTTTTCCCGCATGCGCAGGTGTGTGCTCATATCCCAAATTGAGAAACAGAAATAGAAGAGGATAGGATAACGGAAAGACGAGGTTGGCATCATATGAGAGCCTGAGAGAACAGGAGAAAACTTGGAAGACCTCGGAAGGAGAGAAAAAATACCGTACTATTGCACGGAAGGGGGGGAAGGGGGCGATAGTGGCTGAATGTGATATGCTTGTGAAATTGTGAGACGAACTGAGAAGGCTGAGAAGGGAAATGGAATGAGGAAAAAAACAGAAGCGAGAGAAACTAGATGAAAGGAGACTAGCCTGTTTAGCGGATCAGTACTAGGTCCAAACAAACATCGAGTGATACCCCATGACTGCCAAACATGAATCATCAGAAATCACACTGGAAACCCAATGAAAACACGAGACACATCACGAAACTAAGAGTATGGTACTATCAACATTAAACGAAAAAGCCCATCTAACACAAAGTACAAAACTGCAAGATCCATTACACTCAGCAACCACCTTTGCTCTCTCTCCCTCTCTTTTTCTTCCCCGCTCGGATACCGGTATGGCAATGCAGCCACCGGCTATCCCCCAACCCCGCACGCTTCACTCACACTCCTCGCCAAAACCTCCCGTCCCCACCCCATCAAACTCTCCCGTCCTCGACCCCGACCCCTGCCCCGTCGCAGCCAATCCATTAGCCCCAGGCCAAGCCGGCGTGTCAACCGCCATCTCATTCGCAAGTTCAGTAGTATCCCGCCACCACCAGTGCTCGCACTGGTCCAAAAGCCCCTGGTCAATACCGAATTCCGGCAAAAGTTCACTTCTCGGGGTTCCCGTGGAAGCACAGCTGCTAGGGGATATCGGGGCGGCTGTGGGGAGGTATTGCGGGTTCGGGGGTGGGGAAGTGTAGTATGCGAGTTGCGGGTGGTCGGAGTAGAAGCGGGTTGGGAAGGACTGGGGCGACGATCGAGGGATTGGCTGGGGAGGGGGAGGAGGAGGCGGAGGCGGGGATTGTGTTGGGAATGATTTCCGGTGCTGTGGGGAAGCCGGTGGGTGAGGGCGGGAGGGTAAAGGCTGAGTAGGTTGGGTTAGATCGGACGCATCGGCACCTGTAAGTGGCTTTGGCGGCGGTAATGGGTCTTCGAAGTTTTGCTTGACGATGGTTGCGGTGCTAAGTACTTTGTCGACCTGTGCACCGAGACCGAAGCGTCTCCCTTCCCTCCAGCATCGCTTCAGAACACCCTCGGCTTCTTCTGGTAACTCGATTCCTCGTCGTTTGACGAATACTCCCACAATAACTAGCGCTCTCTTTGCGACGAGCCAGCATTCTCCAATTTCCTCGAGGCTTTTAAGGCCCTGCACAATATCCCTCTTGGCAGCCTTTTGCTGAAGGTTGAGGAGGTGTATGGTACAAGCCGAGTGGATGAAGTACCCGGCGACATTGCAAATTTGCCGGAGGCCATATCGGCGTTTGTAAAAGCGTAGATACTTCGAAATCATCGTCGCCGCGGCAAGACATGCCTTCCGGGGGTCCAAATGGGAAAGCGTGCTATTCGTCGCTGCGGATGACTTTAGGAACGGCCGGAAAAGATGAATGTACAATGTTTGGTGGAACATGCTAGTAAACTTCAGCTTATCGCCCCGAGTGATACATCCTGGGAGGTATAGGATAATTACTGCATTAGAAGCACACTCGGAAGGCTGCCTTCCTTAGCTTCAAGTTCACCCGGAAGCTTCTTCCGCCAATCCTCCAATCTTGCAAAAAGCTCACCGAGCTTCTTAAATTCGGCCTGAACCCCATTCTTCCCCGCTTGTTGAATGCGGTGGATAGTAGTTGCGGCGAATTCCACCACGCCACTAGTATTAGAGCCAGGGGTTGAATCGTAGAAGTTCAAGAGCACGTCATTACTTATTTCGCACAGCATTGAGATCCGTAACGATACCGCCCTGATACGCGAGGGTTGCGGATTAATCGTTGAGACCCCCGAATCAGTATACGGAAGCCAATTGTCCGAATCTTCGCTTGGGAATACGTCCGGTTTTGGCACGGTAACCATCGACGATGGGAGTTGTGGCATACGACCCATGTAATTGCTCCAGCATCTAACCATTGCGTCAGTTAAGCTTATTTCATCCCCCCCCCCCGCGGGCGAGAGTACGCACTTGTCAAACAGGTAGCATCCCCAGAACGTAACCCTTCTAGCATCAAGCTCCTCATCGGTTATTCCAGAACCCAAGCCCACCCCATCTTTCAAGGAACTAGGGTCGAGATGCAACCCAAGATCCATCGCCATCCGAAAGCTCATCCCAGAATATACCCAGCCCCTCGCCTCCCTTCCGCAACCGGCCTCGCGAACACTCATCAGAGCCAGCGCCTGTACCGTTGTTAGTCGGGGAACCTCGTGCTCGTCATTTTCAAGAATCATCCTCTTCGCCTCCTTGAAAAAGTGATCCCCAGCTGTAGCCGGATCATTGTGGTTCGCCCGGGACCCGGCGACACATGTAAAGTGGCAGCCGAGGGTTAGAATTGCATTCACGAGGAGCGAGGTACAGTATTTTATACCAGATGGCCTAGATTGATTCTTCCCCTGGAGAAACTCTTTGTAGAATAGATCCTTGCTCAGAGTCGTGAAATAGGGGTAGTGCCAGGCGAAGTACATCCGTACAAGATGATTAATCAACGCTGGGTCCTGTGTCACTGTAGTCCATGTGGTTATCGGGTCCTTCTCGCCAATGTCTATGCTCCTACCGATCGCTGAACTGTGTCTCCCCTCAATCTCGCTCTGTTCGTCTTCCGTTGAAGACGACGTTGGCGTCACAAATAACAGATTCGACGTCGCTCCAATAAATCTTACCTGACCGTCCTCAACCCTCAGTCGGCCCATCTTCCCACTGAGTTCAGCCTCCAGGCTGATGGGTCGGTCCCCGCCAACCTCGGCCCCCTGTTGGTGCTCATCCGCTGCCACACTACCCGGTGATTCTCCGTCCGGGTCCACATTTGCGTTCTGTTCCGCGACTATATTCTCAACAAGATCCTCAAGTGAGTCACATGTTCGAATCTGCTTGACCAAATCAAATACCCTATCCTCGGGGTAATTCAGAATCGCCTCGACCAGGGTGTGTAATGTGGTATTCTGGGTCTTCAGATTGTCGATATCCTGCTTATACACTCCCTTTCGCCGATGGTCCGAGTTGGGATCGTAGACACATTCGGTGTGGTAGACGGATGCGCAGGCCGCACAGGCTGGTGTATTCCCATCACACTTTCCACCCGTCAGAGACCTCCGAGGAAAAGGGAAGGGAACGGGCAGGGTGGGGCGGGGAAGGGAAGGGGTGCCAGAGGGTAGATATCATAGAAAGGACAATTCAAGCTAACCTTTGACTTGCGACGCCGGCAAGCGATACATGCATTACTGACACAGCGTCTTTTCAGAGGCCTCGAGGATTCCCCCAATTTATCCCTCCGACCAACACCACCGCCTCCACCACCACCCGCACCACTCGCGCTGGCACCGATGCCAGGGGAAGAGCGACGGCTGCTATTTCCGGTATCAGTTGATCCAATGTTACCGCCCGCCATGTTTTGCGGGGTTGGTTTGGAGGCCAGGTTTGTAGGAAGGTTGTAGGATGGGAAGGAGATTTTCTCCGGAGATGAGTTTTCGTGTGTGTTGCTATCTTGGGTCAGCCGATTACTGGGCGGGGGAGGGGTGCAAAGGTGCTTCCGATGGGCTTCCGCAAGCCCGAGCCCCCCGACGAGGTAACAGGTCCCTTCGGGGGAGTGAAATGGCAATATGTCAGTAGCTACCCGCAGCTACTGTACAAGTTGAGGCCTGATACCGGTAGGGGACTTGGTTGAGACCTAAGCGGTGAGATGGCAAGGGGAAAAAAATGCCGTATCGTACAACACCTGGAGAAGTACAGTAGAGAAAAGTCCAGAATAGGCCGAATTCGAGGGAAGGGCTGAAAGCAAGGCAAGGAGAGTTCCAGGCGATGTTTGAAATCCTCTCTCTCTTTCTTTTTTTTTTTTTTCTTTTCTCTCCTTTACCTTTTCTTTCTTCCCGCACCAATCGGCGCGGTGGAGGTTATCGAGACACACAAAGGCCTTGTCCGGGGGTGGGTGTAAATTGCTTTTTCACTAGGGCACTACCACCTTCCGCACTCAGGACAGGCATCTCGATCGATTTTTGATAAGCTTTGGAAGATGTATCCGAAGGTTTTTTTTTTTTTTCCCCTCCGTGGGGGTTACGATGGCAGTGGCCGGCTGGTCGGCTGGGCAAGCGAGATAATCTCCATGTAATCTAGGAGCAGAGGAAGGGTTGTATCATAACCGAATGAGATGCTATATCTTTTCGATTTCGATGCCCTCTGTAAGGGGATGGAATGCCCTCCTAGCTGCCCTAACCAAATCGTGCTTAACTGGAGAAGAGTGGCGGCAGAATCTCTTCCTTCTGAGCATTTCCATTCCCCCTGGCGCGGGTCAGTACCAGTCCCGGATGCAGACAACCGCTTATATCCCTGATAAGCGGTCCGTGTGCTCCGCAATGCCCAGGACACGAAGATAGCGCTGAGGCTCGGCGTGGCCAAATCTGTACGAGTTTGATAGGACAACTAATACCATATCTCTCAGCTTTCATCACCTGATAGCCCCCGGACCAGGAATCGCACCCCCAAATCTCGCATTCGGTTGGCAATCGTTGCCAATTCCCCTAGGCCCAGACCGGTAGGAGAACCATCGCATGCCCCTATCGAGCACATCGACGGCGGTACATGTCAGCCCGGACTCCACTGGGTCGACTACAAATTTGACCTCCATTCCCCACCGCTTTCAGGGCTGACATACAGCCGCGACGTTATCTGCGCAATGTTCAAGCGATGATTGGTTCCAGCTTGATTCGCCGGTTCTTGGTTGTCGGGACTGATAAGACTCCTATCTCTGGGCTAGGCGTGCTTGTATGTTCGGGATGGGTGCAATTGTGACGGGCCAAAGTGATGGACACCAATCCCTCCGGGCTCGGCACGTCGCCGGCATGCCGGTATGAAAAGCTTGGGGCAGCCACCCGGACTGTTCCGCGGGATTGCATCCGGTAATATTTTTGAACGGTTGTTTACCCTTTCGCGAATGGGGGAAGCGAGGAAGGGAGGTCTGTGAGATGGAACACTGCTCCTTATTCCGTTCTTATATAGACAAGTGGTCGCCCGTGTGTAGCACACAGTGTCACCGAAAATCCAGCCAAGAGGGTATTTCACACAGTCCAATGAATTGCGTCGTGCTGGATGCTTGGTGCGCCGCCTACACTCCCCGTTCAATGTCTTATATGTACGTCCTCCAAAACGAGAGAGCTTACTTCCTGGATCACCCGATGAGGTCGCTACCCTATGCCTTCCTGCTTCCTTGGGGCCGCCTTTCACCGCCCGCCAGAAACGCGGCAAGCTTAGGAATGTGGGAGGGATGCGATCAAGGGGGATGGGGAAACCGCACGCAAATCTGAACGGGCACAAGCACTACATTGAGCGAACGCCTGCAGGAGCAAGCGGCGACGTTTGGGGTCTCGAGTAGGGCCTTCCTGGTGCCCATGATGCGATGAGAGCAATTTACTCGTATGGGAAAATCAATGTCATAACATTCAGACATGCGGTAGTTTTCTGGGTATGTACTGGAGAGCACGTTCTAGCGAAGTTTGAGGAATAATTGCTGCGATTGGGGCATGAGAAGCTCAGCGACAGGCTACGACCGAGTTTTGTCTCGTCACAACCCGCCGACCGGTGCGGGTCGGGCCCTACAGATCCATCACCGGGTAACCCTCGGCCCCCGGTAATTCTGGCGGTTCTGCGGGGCCGGGTGCAACGCGCCTCAGGATGGATGGGTGCCCGGAGGAAACGCCAATTGGGCCAACGGTTTGGTGGCGACCGACGTAACCACAAAACTTGGGGTTGGTCTACCGTACACCCGCACCGGCCGAGGAGGTGCCAGGCCAATTTTTCGTTGCCGGTGGCATCTCGCCTTGCGAATATCTGAGCACAGTACGATACAGGTTTCACCCCCGAATTCTGCACTTTTTCCCTGCTCCCCGGTATTTCTCGGGCTGGTTGAATCCGGTTTCCTGTAGAAAACCACCTACCGAGATTTACTCGAGTATCCATCCCCCTAGGATACGGTAGATTATGCAGGCCTCGGGCCCCATTTTCTCAACGTTCGTTATTACGACCCCCTGATGAGAGATCGGGCGTACTGTATTGACGTCTCCCGGGACCCGATTTGGGACCCGTTGCGCTGTATGTACCGCGTATCTGTACTCGGGTCAGTGGCGAAGCACCGGTATCGGGACATACGAAGGGCGCGGATGTCTCTTCGAATACGAAAAAATGTCCCCAGATCTTGGCTTGGCTATGTCAAGTTGGTATTATTCTCCTTTTTTAGGCATCCGGGAGCCGCAACTTATACAAACGAAGGAATTTTTGCACTGGCCTTCCATACCGTACTGTACTGTACTAGTACTCGAGTACCGGTAAAGCCTGTCGAGTGGCTGGTGACACCCACCCCTCTTCCCAACCGAACGCGTGATTATCTCGCAACCAAATCACGTGTACCGAGTCCACTTTCTGGGAAAGTGAAGGCACTATCTACGAGTACCGGTATTCCGTTGAGGGTGTCGGCGAAAACTGTAACCCTTTCCTCCCACCGGGCCTACACAAAACTACACAGAGGCGAGCTTTCCGTTCCCCGCTTTTAATATCCTAACACCCCAGGGAAAGGATATCGGGAGGTTCCTCCGACCCACGCTTAACCTTCTGAACATTCGACTCGGACATCGATACCGTCCATCTGCTCGCAGTCGAGTACCCATCCAGCCAGAAAGGGCTGCTCATCGGCGTTGTGGAAGTCAATCAACTCGCGTGTGACTTCTTCCCCCAAGTCCTCATCCTAACCGACTGCACTCGAGTACTGGCACGAGTATGGTACGAGCGCCGCTGGAATCAGAAAGGGAAAGAAAAAGAGGGAAACAGAACCCCTACTGTAAACTCAGCTGAGGAAATGACAGAATGGGAATGCCGCGCCATTACCAAGAAGGGCTGCGGAAGCGAACTCCGGAGGCCAGTGCGATACCGGCACAGTACTCCCCCGTTCACAACGTTTTTGCGGATCGATATTGTGCTATTCTTATCGCAGAATGGCTGATCTAATCTGATGAACTATTTCCATTCTAAGACCTACCTCTTGGGATCTTTGCCGGGGAAGGGAGGGGAAAGAGGATAGCAAAACCAAGGAATCTTTGTGACTTTGTCGAAACAACAAAAGAGCTTCCTGCGAGACCCGAATCTACTTATCGGCTTAGAGTTGGGCAAAAAGTCCCCGGGTAAAACAACAGAAGGTCGAATTCTTCGAAGTCTCAAGGGGGATACTGCTGCCTTGGTAGAGCCGTACTGTGAAAGTGTCATGGAGGAATCCAAGTGCCAGCACGGGGCATTGGTCTGAGTTTTGTATTTACCCATAACACCCCGTTTCTAGTTAGTCCCTGGAGGTCTGCTATGATAACTATGATGCAAGCGAATTTTTCTACTGGTATCATACGAATGCCCCGGGTTGGTGGGAAAGGCTGTTGTGCCGCTTGATTTGGACAGCGGTATTTGGCATATCACGTTGCCGCCAAGACCCTGCCACAGTCCCAGTATCATACTTCGTACGGTAGTACCGTATGATACCTTTCTTTCTGCGAGAACATTGCGGACGAGGCTGCGCGAGAAGCGGCGTGAAGGTGAAAGTGCATTTCTCGCATGATAACAAAAGAGAATGCTGGTTGGGCTGGCGCTGTGCTTCTGGGTGCGGGGGCGTCCCGGTTCCGTTTAACAAGGTCGCGCTTGCATAAAGGTCCTCTTATCGAGGGTCAAGTCGCGTGTTGTACCGTGCCGTACTCGAGTATCATACTAATCCTCCAGGTTTTGTTCCCAGCGTGGGATGGCGAGCAAGGCTTTTCATATGATGATACCCCCACCCTTTTTTTATTATTTCCTTTTTCCTTTTTCCTTCGCCGCTTTTCCTGAACGATCTACTCTATGATACGATAACTCGCAAGTCGTGTCTGGCCACCCGTTGTCTAATTAATGCTATTCGTGCAAGAGTGTGGGGGAAAGTTAACCGGCGTTAACAATGCATTATCGTATGGTGAGGACCCCCGTTTGCCCCCTCCCCCCGAAAGTTTGGGAAAAACACGGCCGTTTAACCCCCGGCCGACTCACTGGATGTACTCGAGTACGGTACCACGATACCGGTACTGTAGTCTCATGGCAACGAGGAAGTAGATGGCGAGCGGGAATTTGATCTATGATATAAAAGAGCAACGGGTGGATGGGAACCGCGAAACAAGGTTCTCGAGAGGGCTGGTTTTCCACCAATCCAGTACGGTTTCGATACCGTAGCCTCTCCGTAAACCCCGGAAACACCCCGCAAGGTACTAGTACGGTACTCGAGTAGAGTACCATACACTCAATCCTTGCTGTCCCGGAACCCCATACTACGGATGCAAGTAACTTATCTCGTTATCCCACACGAAATTCTACAAATTTAATTTTTTCATACCAAAACTTAACCCATCGTCCTGGATCACTCATCGTACTCGTACGGTACTGGAGGGTACTGGACAGTTTCTTCCTTCGGAATTTAGTCGTCCGAGGTGACTTAGCGAGATGCGACTAGAGTATCCCAGTGCTCGTAGGATTCCCCCATTCGGGGAACTCATCATCGCTTTCTTTTTACTGTCACCAGTATCTCCAGTACACCCACCCAACCAACTTGAAAATAGCTTCTCCCTATCATGCCCCCTCCCCCGATAGTAGCTTATCGCTCCCCATACCCCCCCCCCCGACGGACAAGGCGCACATCAGTTCCTACTGTGCCAGAACGGGGGGCACCTTACAACTGCTGCACGATGGGAGGCAGTTTACAGACAAACTCTCTGTGCATGCAGTATGGTACTTGCAGAAGTATCATCTCACAGCGGACAAGCCTATCATAGCAATATTGCAAGCCGCCCGTGCCGGGGGGGTTTTTTTTTCTTTGTTTGTTTGGGTAACACTCGGTTGGAACCGGCAAACTGCAAATTTAATTTTTTTTCCTCGAAACAAATCAAACCCTCATACCGCCACTGGCGCTGCGCAACTTAATTTACTTTATCGAGAAATATTATACCGGTATCTCTTTATGCCCCCCCCCCCGCCCCGCTGTCTCCTTCACTCGCAGAATAATTAATTATGGTCGCTTACCGGTAGTCTACTCGAGTACTCGTTTCCTCACATTCTTGTTCGCGTGTCTGACGGCGAATACAATGGGCTCGACCGGCTGTGTACGAGTACTGTACCGTATAATACCAGAGAAATAAGGATATGGGGATTTTCGAAATTTGATTAAGCAATAAATAACTACGATTCCGGTTATTACACAATAGCCGGAGACGGCAAGGGAGGGAGCGAGGGGGTGGTCGCTGGCCAAACCCTTGCGAGTGCTGTACTGTACTACTAGTAGCACCGGTACTGTCCTGTACTGTAATAATCGAGGGTCGCACCACGCCACCGAACTTACAAGTACAGTCAGGCCTGCGGGGAACTGTGCGAATCCTGGGCACAGTAAACTATCATATTATAGTTGTTGTGGGAATTGCTTGCTACGGTTGGTAGGTACGATACCGGCAAATCTCGCGTTGCCGTAAGGTTACAGTTACGATTACTAGTACTGTACGAGTGGTTGGGGCGTGCTGTGAAGGGAGAGCACGCCAGGTACTCGAGTAGTCTACTCGTAGATACTGTGCTGATATCATAACATCGATCGCTATCATGCTAGTATTTGAGACCCCGGTGGGATGTTGCGATCTCAGCGAACCCTACGGTATAGTACAGTACTGTAGGTCCCGTGTACGGCGGTATCATACTCCACGAGCAACGGTGGGCCGTGATGCTCTACAAAATCGCTACCGTGGGGACTCGAACGAGGGGAACGGACCGAGCGGTACCTGGTAGCTGGCTGGGTATACAATACAGTCGCACCCCGCTATCCCGGATCCCGCTGAACCGGATACCCTGCTGAACCGGATAGAATCTTCGGCTCCTCTAATTCCTCACAGAAATTACCCCGTTGAACCGGAAAAGGGGGTTTTCGGATTCGTATGAGATTTTGAGAAATCATATCCCCTGTTCCTATAGAAAATTAACCTGCTGAACCGGATGATATAACTACTGGCTGAAAGGCTAGTCCAAAAGAGGAAAGAAAGGCAGAACTGAAATTAAACACAGCGGAGTAAAAGCGTAAGAGGAGTACTTTTACATATAGTGAGAACACCAGGATTGCGGTTCTTGAAAACCCCGACAGACGATAGATAATTCACTGGTTCTTCAAATCCAAAACCTCTGTTACTGACCCAGTCAATCATGAGAAAAAAAGGGCTGGGCCATGGTAGAGGCAGACTAAATTCCTAGTAGTAACCCAGAGGAGGAGGAAAACAGAACGTCTGTGCCTACCAGACCCCCAGTTGGATAACCAATAGTATTAATGCCGCCTACAACAATTTGATGAGAGTAAGCTTCTTATCACGGTGGAAATACACATCCCCTGTTTTCTTCAGATAGTGCTCACTCTCAGGCTCTCTCTCCCTCGTTGTTCCGGATACCCCGTTGTTCCGGACAAAATTTGTGAAATCTGACCATCCGGGATAGCGGGGTGCGACTGTACTGTAGTTCGAAATTTGTTCCTCCTCTGGAGAGGGGTGCGGAGTAGACACCGGGGGGACTTGGTTTTGTGGGCAAGAAAAAAGAGAAAAAAAGGAGAGGGGAAAACAATACGGTAGACCTTCCGGGGAGCTAGCTTAACTCCAACGACCGAGAAAATGGTCCGTTTTTTTCTTCTCTTTTTTTAAAAAAAAGAAAAAAAAATTGAATTCTTGTGATATCTTGGTCACAAATCATGATACCTAAAAATCAAACACTTTCCGGTGCAATATACCTGTCGCCACGCCAATGCCACTTCTTTGGCTCCGCGTCACCAGAACTCACTCGAACACTCTGTCTCGGCGAATGTTTGGACATATCATATCATCTCGTAAGTGGACCGTTACGCACGCTAGTGTTGAATTTTTTTTTTTTCCTTGCATCATGTCTATTCTCGCTTTTGCTCTTCATATGTGTTTCCTTCATTCTGTTCTTACGTTTACCTCTGAACCCTGGGAAATTGTGCTCACTGTATTCAACGGCACTTTCGGCTTCGGTTCACTTTAATCGTGGTTATGATGAAAACCTACTGAAATTTCATACACGGATTTCTATGGAACGTAAGGAGTGGGATGAATAAAAACTATATAGATATGTGGATATATGGGCCGTCCAGAAGGGGAATAATGATAAGAAAATAGGGCCCAGCCAGCCGGCCAGTCGGTCAATTCCTCGGTCGGTCGAGCTCCATCACCCCGTCTTTCCGAAGTGCCCCCTTTGAAACACCATCCCAACTGGCGTCTGCGCACCATCCGGCTCGACCTCACCAAATTGGAGTCCAGTTACCTTCCTCTGCACCCCTCCCGCTTCTCCCGCCCTGGCCCTGCCCTCTCCACCGGCAGTCCCATCATCACCCACCTTCCCACGCAAACCCACAAAACCTATTTTCTTCTTTCCAGCGCTTTTAACCCAGACCTTTGTAGGAGCACTGTGCTCGCAAGCTTCCGGGTATAGCAGGTTGGTGACGGACCTCCCGGTGCTGGTCTGGTTGATCAGCCCCCGGACAACCGTCAGCGAAACCCTCGATGCGATCCACATTAGCAAGGCGATGAACAGCGATGCAACCCACAACGCCAGCATCATGAGAGCTGGTATGGCGAATAGGAGGTTGTAGGTGATTTTTTTACTATACGTCTCCACTGTGAGCATACCAATCGGGGACTTCTCGTCTCCGTCGGTGAAGCCGTATGCCGAGGGAACACTCTTGGTACCAACTAGATTATTCGCGACGATGTCGGTCCAGATCAGGTTCAGGATCGACGCGGTAGAACTCTGTGTCGCGCTGAGTTTCCGCCACTTGCTCAGGAGGGCAAAGTTGCGTTCGCCAGAGTAGTCCTCCTTAGTGTTGATCCCCGTTAGCGCGGCACCGGGAACGCTCAGGAGGCCGAAGGAGCTCGGAGAGTCGGGTAATGCGGTGAGGACATTACCAACGGATGGCAACCATAGATGCTCACGCTGAATGGTCCAGAGGTGCGGGGCGTCTTTGTATTTCGGGTCCACGATACCCCAGAAGGGTTCCACGTCGTTGATTGTCATGCCCGTGTCTTCGACGGCCCATACGGGCATTACTGATGTCGAGGAGTAGCTCTTTGGCACCACTTTATCCACGCGCAGGTTCTCGAGGGCGTGCGTGCCGTTAGTGGTGAGGGTCACCACCTTTACGGAAGCTTTGACGGCAGTTGCGCAAGTGTAGATTGGTATGGACCAGCGGGACCCGATGTCGTGTGTTCTAGACGAGTCGCCACCGTCAACGCGCTTCGCAGCGCCGAGAATTGTGCTACACTTTATAGCGACGTTGGTGATGTTTGACATGTCGGCGCCCCCGGAACCTACGCATTGGGTGTCTGCCGTTCGGGTTATAAACGTGTTGGTGAAAGGGGGGAGAGGGGTGATTACTTGCGTTGGTAAAGTTCTTTGATGTATCAATTCCTTTGCGACTTCCCTCCATCCAGTCCCCATTCATATCTCCAACTCCGATCGTTGCAGCCCGATAACTGCTAGCACCGAGGGTGGAGCCCCCTTCCAGGGAATAGCTCTTCCCCAAGCTCGTCATATTTCTCGTGACGTTGTGGAAGGAGGCCGCTATCACGTTCGCCATCCAGGCTCCTTTGTATGCGCGCTGCCACAGCTGGGCGTCTAGTTGGGAGTCTGCGCGAACAAAATCCGGCCGATCGCGAACAAGGTTGACCCACCCGCCATGATCCGTCAACCGCGGGCTATCTACGCGGCGGTCCTGAGTAACAGTGAAATCGATAGTAAAGTTGTTGTCAACACATTGCGACACGGGCTCTACCCAGAGAAGGCTCTCGTCCCACGTTCCGCCGTATTCCAGATTCGTAGGGGCGGAATGGTTCCTGAAGCCTACTCCTCCGTTCTTCGCATCCACGACCAACCCTTCCACGAGCACGAAGTTGTCGTCGAGGATTACGCTCCGGAGGGTCGCGGCAATCCCCCTGGTGTGGGCATTGCCCTGGTTCATGGGAACTCGCTTGCTAACGTTATTTCCAATGTCCGAATCCTTGACGTTGGTGAAGAGCCTGTGCTGGACATCAAATGGCCCGCTTATCAGATTTCCACGCCCACTGGTGCCGCTCTTGAATATGTCGGTGATATTCTGGGGTGTGTTTGTGTCTAGATATGAGCCGTCGGGTCCATCGAGGTACATTCCCGTGCGATTGGCGGTGTAGGTAAATCCGCCAAATGTCCCGGGGCAATTCTGCCACATTGACCATCCGCACACGCGGGAGAATAGATACCCAGAGCGGCTCGGAGTGCCTTGGCCAAAGGTCGAGGTGTCCTTGAGGTACTCGAAGGCAACTGGCTCGGTGAAGCTGGGGGTTACCTCCTCGTTCAGACCGAGGGGCGTGACGACTCCGGCCACAGCGAGGATTATCAAGGCTATTGTGGAGAGAGTTGAGATGAATATGACGCGCTTGCGCACTCCCCGGCTGGCCGCTGAATCAGCGGAGAGGATTGAAGGCCACATTGAGGCATGGAGGGTCCTCCCAACGACGGACCTGGGGTAGAATGGTGAACAAAGACTTCAAATGTCGAGTGTATCATACCAAAATGATTGAAAACATCGCCTACCATGTTACGGCATTATTTTCATTCTCCAAAAATGCAACGAGAATTAGGACGAATGCGAGAGGGAGTGTGAGTTGCACTGAATTAATCATTCGGTCAACCCCATGAACTCCAAAGGCCCCCCAATTGTCACATACCTATTATGACACAAAGATTGATGATACCCGACACTTGACCAACCGTCAAGCCACCCATTATAGCAAACCAACCCACCAGAAAGTGAATGAATGTGTAAAAACTGTTTTTAAGGAGAAAAAAAAAAGAAGGACAATAAAGAGCGACGTGAAGAGCGTTGGAGGAAGAGAAAACGAGCGGTGGTCTTTGGGGAGAGTGCGGAAAAGTTCAGACCTCCCCTACCGGTACCCTAACTGCCGGTATCCTAACCCCCTCCCCCCTTTAAGAGTAGTACAAGTAGTTTTTAATATTTCTGGTGACACAAGCAGTAAGACAGGAGAAGGATTACGGGTTGAGTACCGGTAGGTTCCCATGAGTGCAAATCTTGGGCTAGCACCGTCCCTGCCAAGGCTGAATACGAGATCTGCACTCTGGGGGTGTCCCAAACATTTCTTACTTGGGTGAAGTGCTGTGCCGTACTGGGAAGTTGCTCTCGGGGGTCCCGGAGGGACGGGGGCTGTTTTAAACTTGAGTGGATATTTTCGCTAAGTTAACTTTGTTTTCAGATGCGGGCAGATGATTTGTACCTGGGGATTACGCTGCGAGTGCTGGGATCATACCAGTACCAGACTAGTACTGGAATGCGCAGTCGCGAACTAATCCTGGTTTCGTAATGTGCCACATTGATGTGGTGCAGAAGTGGTACGGTAGGGTAAATCAGGGGTCACGTGAGGGTTGGCTCCGGTTACATTTTATCCAAGATTGTCTAACCTCATGCCTAATTGCGAAGAATCAGACGCTCAACCGACGGCTCGAGGAACGACGAACGGAAGCATCCCGCCATCAACCGGTACCAGTGCTATCATGTTTCAGGAGATGGGATTGGTATGCTCTCTGCGGAGAGAGGACTCCAGTTTGCTTCTCTCCCGTTTGCACGTCGATACTCCGATACTCCGCGCGCAGAACTTTGTCCACCGGAGAGGTCAAGGAAGCCACCCAGCACCCGCCCCAATCAGCGGTGGATACGAGGATCGCTTGGTACGTTATCCGAGACGCGATAAGTGCGACCCTGCGCCGTTGAGTGCGTGACAAGTTCCAACATACTATAATGGGGCGGTGGTGTGCGCAGTGAGATCGGGGGGGCTCAGGAAAGCAAAGCAGAAGGGATTCAGAGGGATCGAGAGCGAGTTTGCGAATGCGGGTGCAATGTTCGGGAAGAGCCTTGGTGACCTTGGGGCCAAAATCCGATCAATGGTTTGGCCGGTTCAGTTCTATTTGGGGAAAAAGGGGGGGGGGGGTCACTGGTACAATACACATTTATTTGCAATCGCCCTTTGCCACCGGGCTGATATTCATTCATGGGTTGCAGTTTTTCACGCTAAAACCTACATCGGTGAGCCCACTATTGCGACCAAGAAGTAGCCGGACGCGGATCCTCGGATTGGCCAAGGCACCACTTGGGTTGTATCTGGACTATCGGACGCCGATGAGGTTGGACCGGAAGGATAGCTTGCCGTGTACGCGGTCGCTATTCTAAGTGCTTTGTTGGCCATTAGGCGTTTCCCTGTGTCTTAGAAGGATACTGCCCTATCTGTTGTATATTATTATGCTCTAATGTGGATCTTATACAAGCTTTTGCCTTGAGATGACTTGACCTCCAATTTCATGGAGCCGCCGCTGGAATTTTTGGGACTAATATCGCCCTTCCGGGTATGACAGAGCATCAGCTACCCTCAGGGAACTGGTAAGTACAAAGTAGAACAGCCTCGCTGTTTCCGGTCTTACAGCTCAATCTGGTTAAGAAAATCCTTGGAGAAACAGACTCTGTAAATTTATGTCTTTGCCCTTCCAGCCTACCTGGCCAAGGGCAACGGGTCACCTGGCAATGCGATACTACCAGCTCCGTGTATAGACCCAGGCCTGTTCGAGCGATGATACCTCCATGGCTACTTGAACGGCTATCATACTGTGCGGTACCTGCACCAAAGCTCAGAGGCACAACACTCCCGTCGGATTTCTGTTGTATCTTTCCCTATCCGAGAGTGAACACCCTCCTCGCACAGGCACTTTTCTTAGGCACTCACTCTCAAGGACCCCATCAACGTGTAGTTGTTTTCTTCTGATACCGCGAGCATCGTGTGAAAATCCTGGCGTTGGATAGCTGGTAATACTCTCTGCTTTTCTCGAATCCGTATCGAATGCGTCCGTCGACCTCTGCACCCTACAGTTGGTACAGTGTTGCATGGCGTATGCAGTTTGTTCTAGGAATTAAGTCAGTAATTGGGTATGTCAATTTCCGTAGAAGGCTAGCTCTGTTGAGTGATTTTGTCCGGACAGCGTTGTCCTGTCTCTGGCGGGCAGGATTGTGGAGGGACCGGATATCTGGGATCGTAGTTTTCTTTGGGTCGGTACCAGTATCTTGGAACAGTGTGGGCGCAAACTTTGGATGGCTCATGCGGGGCCGGAATCCCGAAAATATCCTCGCGACTTCCGCCAGCCCCAACCCTGAACATATCCCCAGGTGGTCACAGATGGTCGTCCTCCTCGCACACTGCCATCATCCGCCGGTGGAACCGCAACGAACCGGTCGGTCCACCCATGTTCGGAATCCTAGTACCGGTAGACCCGCTATGCTACTCCGAGCAGTAATGCTCTGCTTTGCCATGGGGGCTGGCCCGTATTGTCAATTGCGACTTCAGTGAGAATGAAAACTCATGATGAAGCTTATCATGAATCGTTGTGCATGGGTTCCACCAACAAGTTAGATAACAGAAGCGGTGCTTGTGACGGCAAGTAAAAACCTTTTGTTGAAGTTGTGGCCGTCATAATGGAGGGTAATGTCCTGGGTGTTTCGTATGATACTGGATACGGTGCTTGTAACGGCGCTATCACAGTTTCGCATTTCGGCGACTATAGATGGCTGCCTTCAAGTTTATATCCTCATACCCACAAGAATGCGGAATTCGTGCGCCAGCAACCGGTATATTTAAGATTTGATAGGGTACAGGAAATCAGCGGATGTTTGGACTTCTAACCTTGGCAACGTTAGGCCCTTGGATTTGTCAAGAACCCTACGGTACAAGTTAGGGATCGGATAGGACAAAGGCCGATCGATCAATTTGTATAAGGCGGAGGCAATCCCCACCAATCTTGAGTTTCTTCAACCTTCCGTCTCGGCGATCAGAGATTGAAGGGTAAGCGACATCGACTTCGAGAAAGTACCTACGGTTAAAAACGAAACCAAAAACAAGGTAAGTCTCTCTCAATGGCTTGGGAACTATTATTGAAAACTTGAAATTAGTTGCTGAAATTGCAGGAATCAAAGGAGGCCACTATTTTCACCATGTTCCGGGTTCTCAGCAAGCAAATATTTAAACCTGCGGGTGTCCGCCACCACCACCACTATCCTCTCAGAGTCTCCTTGCCTAGGGAGATTGGCACTGCGCGGGTGAGCTATAAGGTTTAATAGTTCATATATCATAAACAGTTCTAACAAGGCAGAACAGCTGCGCAATACCAATATCAATAATACCTTCAACAATAGTTACTCTACTACTCGTGAAAATGGCCCAACCTCTTCTACAGCGGGCTCTCAGTTGCCTGATCTTTCAGGGTTGGATACAAGGGAATTATTTAGGCACCTAGTCCTGGTGAGTGTGGAAGATATCCTTGGGTCCTAAAACTATGCTGATATTTGGTTAGTCACAAACTTTACTATTCCGTGAAATTGATCGCCTTGCAGGTGGTCCAGGAGAGAAGAATCAGGTGAAAGACTCTCGAAACTGGTTGGGTACGAAACTTAGGAGCACAGGTGCCGAGATGGGTGGACAATCCAAAGATACGTGCGATAGTTGTAGTAGGGTTTCGCGCGGAGGGCGGGACAGAAAACGGGATGAAGGAGGAGAATGGGACAAAACAGACATTATGCTATATATAGTATACTTTTTCCTTGGCCCATTGTGTTTGTACCAAATGTTCTATCCTGAATGGGAGGAATATTGTAAGCGGAAACAGAAGCTGAGGCAGCATGATGGGTGTGTTAAGGCCTGTTTGCATGGAAAGACCAATAACACTTAGATATGTATAATAGTCAAAGTGGTAATGCAGATTCAATCAGATGTGTTGTGATCTCATTTATTTGTATACTGGACTACTTTCTGTAGGACAGTAAGCAAAATACATAAATTATTTTTCTCCTTCCGTAGCTATACTACTTTATATTACCATATGATACACAGCTTCCAAATTCATTTGCACTAAAGTGTGAGGTGGTTATTAGGCGGCAGCCAATTCTAAAGTTAGGAGAATTGTAACTAGGGCTGAGAAGGTTTCTTAGGCCCTGTTTGGCAAAAATGGAGCTATAGAAAACAGTTCTATTTGGGTGTTGATATGCGAAAATTGGCCCACTCTACCAATGCAACAAATTTACTTCAATGCATATAATTATTCTTCCACTTGAAGAGTCCCTTCTGATGATCTTAAAAAATATTTTTCAAGGAAATTTGTGCATCTATTGACTCACAGTTAGATTTTTTCAGATTTTACACTTTTCTCTTTTTCCCATAGATACATAGCCTGAGTTTTCAGCTATCAGAAAAATATTTAAGAGCCTTTTTTAGTAGTAGAATTGCCTTCTATAAAGAATTTTGTAACACTGGTTACATGTAAGAGTATGAAATATTTTTATGTTTTATAATTTTTCTGTGGTTGCTATGCAAACTTGAAACTGTAATTACACAAAACCAGGTTTAAGGTGTCTGGCCCACTTTTGCATATCAACACCCATTTTCATAACAGTTTGATACCTAGAAATGGCCGTGTTCAATTTCTTCCTGTTAGTTTCCACAGAACCTATTTGGATCAAAATGGAACCATTCATTGCCACACAGCAACACAACTTACCCTAAGAAAAATCTAACTTCCCATAGCTTTGTATTTGATTATAAAAAGGGTTTTCAATAAATCTCCAATCTGAACCATCCTACAACTATCTATCTCCTTTTACAAGAATACCAGATCAGTCTCCCAATGATGTAACCGGAACTGAAGTTCAGTCTGTTCGGTTCAGGGATTTGTTTTATGTTTTGTTTTACTTGTGGCTTCGAGTATCCTTTGATACTCAGTTTGTTTTACTTGTAGTTTTGGGTATCCTTTGATACTCAGTTTGTTTTACTTGTGGTTTCGAGTATCCTTTGATACTTAGTTTGTTTTACTTGTAGTTTCGAGTATCCTTTGATACTCAGTTTATTTTACTTGTGGTTTCGAGTATCCTTTGATACTCAGTTTGTTTTACTTGTGGTTTGAGTAAGAAATAGTTGGGAAACTTGCCCATGGAGGCCATAGACAATATCTTGAATTTAAAGACCGCTGATTCTCTCAGAGGAACAGCAGACTTCAACAGACAGAGTATTTCTAATATACTTGATTGAACAGTTACCTCTTCAAGTCCCTATTCTTTATATCTTTCTCTCGGAGCCTTCCTTAGTGCAGTACACCCATAGGTTGTAGATCAACTTGTGCGCTACTCCTATTGTACTCAGAAGCGTGACTAGCACCCCAGTACGAACATGTTACATTTTTTTAACCTCAGCAAGTGGTTAGAAACCTGTGTGCAAGATCACAGATTGACAGATACAACCCAGCGAAGCTAGCACGAAGGCAGAAGAGACCAGCAGTGGCCCGCCTACCCCACCTACACAATAGACCCTCTTATGACGCACAGTGGGAAACAGGTTTCCAGAGAAGAGCTAACGAAGCCCAAGAGACTAGGCCAAGCGAAAGGCCCAAAGGACGGATTAGCAATCGACGATCTAGGAAGACAGCTAGCACAAGATCAAGCAGCTTAGGATTTCAAAGGATCCAAGGAAGAGTTCAGCCAACAAAGCCTATCCATGCCCAGAGGCTTCCCAGTTACCCCTGGAAAGGGAGAACAACCCGGAACTAGTGAAAGTTTATCCAGACTACCTACAGAAGGTACAGGTGTGGCACCTGGTCCAGAAGACAACAGTAGCAGCAGCAGTAGTGACAGTGAAGCCAGTATAGCAAGCTCGGCAAGAGACCCACCCGGAGGTCCCCCAAGACCGCCAGACCCCCCCAGAGGAGCGCCTGGAGGCGGTGGCATACCTGTTAATCCCTCTAAGATCAAACTCCCTCTACCTGCAAACATCTCAGGGAAAGGTGAGGACCTGAAACCGGAAAGTTTCCAACAATGGGAAACAGCTGTGCACCAGTACCTAAGGTTGCATAGGATCAACATTGAGGAACACAACACGGGAATGTATATTGGAGCCTTCTGTGAAGGTGGAGCCCTCGATACCTACCAGCAGTGCATGGATGCAAATGGTGAAGGAGCTAGAGGAACAAGGGTACTAGAGGCCCTGAAGAAACGATTCCAGTTATTCCGAAATAGCAAAGAGATATTCAAAGCCTTCAACAGCATCAGCCACACCCACAGCAGAAAAACAGAATGAACAACCAAGATAGCAACAGACCTCTTACTTTATACGAAGCGCATGCCCCGTGGTGCAGTATTAGCCTACATGCAGAAGCGCTGATTCTATGATGCTATGCATCCTCTACTCCGAAAGGAAGTGGAACTGATGAAAGAAGATGATGATAACATCCATGATATCATAACGAAAGCAGAACGGAAGGACGCAATACTACATGAAACCAATGCCTATAAAACCAAATCCCCTCCACCATCTCAAAGGGAATGGCAAGACAACGGGCCAGGACCATCAAGGATGAAAAAGTCAAAGTTTCAAAAAAATGCGAAGCAATCCACTAAGGAGAAACAAAGAGAGAAGGGAGAGTGTTTCGAATGCAGGAAAACTGGACATATGGCCCGAGACTGCCCAACCAAGAAGCGGAAAGAAACGGTGATCAAGAAGGAACCTGCAGTGAACTACATAGAACCAGACAAATATAAGGATGTGCAGATCAATACCATAGAAGCCCAGTGCTTCCTGATCCAACCGAAATCAGGGATGAAGCCCTACCGAGTACTAGAGGGAACCATCCAAATCAATGGACACCCTGCCCCAGTCCTTTTTGATACAGGAAGAATCAGAACAGACATGATCAGCAACACCTTTACGGCTACCCATGGACTCAAGACTGTGAGTCTGCAGCAACCGATCCCAGTTTCTATGGCAGTCAAAGAATCCCCCTCTACGAGCTATAAAACCGTAAAAGTTTCAATCCAGCTATGATCTGTCAAGTTCCCGGAACACAAAATGCTACTCAGAAATGGAGCTAAATTCAATGCCATTATAGGGATGCTATTCCTCACCTGGCACATAGCAGGCATCAGATGTGGCAAGTCTGTTATAGAATTTCCAGACCAGAAGGTCTGGGTATCCTGTACCCCTACCAGTGGAGAATTGTTAAGAATCCTACTGGTCGGGTGAGTAATACGACAGGTAATGATTCTTACTTACAATGAGGCAATAGTTCTTAGGCCTATGCCTACACGATAGTGATAGCCAAGTCCTTTTGACTTCTATCTTATCGTGCCTATCCCTCTTAATCTTCTAAGTCCTCGCCTAGGACTTAAGTGTTACTCATGGGATGAGAAATAGTTTTTTTGTGTAAGGTGATATAAAAGTTAAAGAGCGTCAAAGTAGGTTTTATTCGTATCAAATATAAAGGTAGGAAATAAACAAGAAGAACGTGTGAAGAGCTAATACTAGGGGTCCTAGTGACCCGTTATATAGTAGCTCTTCACCTGGCGTGACTCATACTTATGCATCACGCGAACCTTGTAACTCATAACCATGAGTCATGCGAAATCCATCAGCCGACTCCTATGAGTCGCTGCGCAACGTACCTAAAACCAATCAAAACATAATAACCTAGTCAGGTGCGCGACTCACGACACCTGAGTGAAACCCATGACTCACAATTTGAGTCATATGCAAAAATCATAACATCGTGTGACTCACCACTTGTGAGTCATGAACAGGTAAACATAATAACCTATAGCACACTAGTGTACGTCATGTGAAATCCCAACATATAGTTCTTGGACAAAAGTCATCGTTGGTGGGTTCAAGTACCAGTCAAAACACACCAAAATGGTTGAAATTCGAGGTCATGAAAATGGCAATTTGCACACCCACCTCTTAATTAATTAAAATAAAAAATATATCAGTAGATAGCAGAAGACCTAGCAGTACTAAAATTCATATTTCTATACCAAATTACTTTGTTTTGTGGGTAGCTCTGGTCAATTGGTGCACTCTATTCCAAAGCTCAAGTTAAGCACCAAAGGATTTGTACGGGTGCTCATACAAAAAGGTACCTGTTTCAAAAACTGCTAATTTTAAACAGCCTCAGTTCATGCAATATTGAACCATATTCTTCAAAGTTTAAATCTCACAGCTAGAATATCTAGAAATACTATTTTATGAAGAATTGATTTACCCTCACTGCAGGTGGTTGAGTTCTGGTGCTGTGAAAAACAGCATTTTTGGTGTAAAAGTGGCCGTCAACGATGACTTTTGTTACTGAACTGTACCTATAGCTTGGAAATCCGAGCTATGTGAAATCTGCCTTGCTTAGTCACAGTTTGTGACATTAGCTCCCCTCTCTCTCAGCCTGAGTCCCATCGGGCTTATTCGCGTCTCCATCCTCCTTGATGGTCCCTCTAGCTCTTCTCCCTGTGGTAATAGCTGCGATTAATCCTTCGGACCGCTCTTGCAGTCCTATCCGAATGTCTCCGAGCCTTTTCCGCCTGGCTCTCCAATTCCCTTTCCAAGGCCTCCCTTGGTCCTCTCTCCCTTGCCAGCTCTGCTTCAAGTTGACGTACCCTCAACTTGGTTCCTCTCTTCATTGCCTCCAGCAACACTTTTGTTAGCCGGAGCGGAGGTCTTTCTCTAATTCCGCTATCACCGCCTATTGGTCCTCTGCCTGAGGCAACCTCGGCGTAGCTTCTTCCCTCTCTTCCTCCCAGGAGACGTGCCGCGTCTTCCTGGGCTTTGCCCATTTTTGTTTTTTCGCCCCCCTCCTCTTCGACTTCGTCCTCGGAGTTGATTTGATGTATTGTATCAGAGCCACTGGCTCTGACGTTGGGGATCTTGCAGGGGATCCCAGGGGTGAACTCTTGGGTGGCCATCGGTTCGCTTCCCGAGGCCAATATCCCGAGCCTTCCTTCTCGCTTTTTGTTATGGCCACCCGGCCTGGTATGGAGA